GCGCCGCCACACATGCAAACTTAGATGGATTCACTAAAGAAACTATTTACAAAATACAAATAATAATTCCTCACCATAGAGGAATTGTTTTAAGTAGAGTCCTTCATAGGCCAAAGGTGGATCCAGGAGATCTCCTCACCTCCTCAGGTCCTGGCCTTTTGATTCCAGTTGTTTTCAAGTGTATCTTTGGGTGGGGAGGCAGAAGTGAAGCAAACTGAAACCATCAATTGTTTTTCTGCCCCACCTCTCATAGAATTTCCATGAGGCAGGAATCCTTTGCTTGATTCTCCCTTTCCCCCAGTGGAAAAATACAGCAACTCAAGATTAGTATCCGATGACCTGGTCACCTTACTCTGTAGTATCACATAGCTACAAATAGGATAATTATATTAAATAAATCATAACCTGATCAGTGATAACTTACATGAGTTATCTTGCATAAAGTACATCTCAGTTATGTCACATTCGTATCATAAGCATATTTCTTTATAAAGAAAATGGAATGGAATATCACAGGAAAGCTGATAAGAAAGGTGGAGATACAGGACCTGTTTCACCCTTCACAGCTGAGGATACTGGGGAGATTCCCAAACCTGAGCCATTCTTTTTAGGTGACAAATCTGAGGAATTGTCCAGATTAAGGCATCATTAGAAGAGATTTTGGAATAAATTGATAAACTTAACAGTAACAAGTCACCGGGACCAGATGGCATTCACCCAAAAGATCTGGAACAATTCAAATGTGAAATTGTGGGACTTTTCACTGTGGTTTATAACCCATCCTTTAAATCAGCTTCTGTACATAATAACTGGAAGATAGCTACTGTGATGCCAATACTTAAAAAGGGCTCTAGAGGTAATCCTGGCAATTATAGACTGATAAATCTAATATCTGTACCAGGTAAATTAGTTGAAACTATAGTAAAGAATTAAAATGTCAGGCACATAGATGAACATAATTTATTGGGGAAAGTCAATATGGTTCCTTTGAAGGGGGATCCAGTGGATATAATATACTTAGATTTCCAGAAAGTCTTTGAGAAGGTCCATCACCAAAGGTTCTTAAGTAAAGTAAGTTGTCATGGGATGCAAGGGAAGTTCCATTCATAGATTGATAACTGCGGTTTTCGGTTCTATGACCGGTTTTGTTCAATATCTTTATTAATGACCTGGATGAGGGGATGGATTGTACCCTCATCAAGTTTGTGGATAACACTAAGCTAGGGGGAGAGGTAGATATGCTTAAGGGCAGAGATAGGGTCCAGAATGATTTAGACAAATTGGAGGATTGGGCCACAAGAAATCTGATGATGTTCAACAAGGACAAGTGTAGAGTCCTATACTTGGGACAGAAGAATCCCAAGCATAGTTACAAGCTGGGGACCAACTGGTTAAGTAGTAGTTCTGCAGAAAAGGTCCTTG